TACATAAATTCTAAAATGTACAATTTAAACTGAATGAAATATATGTGATTGTGGAAGAAACACACGAAATGTACCTGTAACCCAATGGATATGCTTTCTACAAGATGTAATGAAAGATGATTTTTTTTGTGTGTTTTCTTTTAATTAAAACAATAAAACTTAAAAAAAACCACTGGTCACCATATCTTCTTTCCTTTCTTCCCACCTTTTCCATTATTACAGCCTCCTCCAGAGAAATAGGCCGGTGCATCCTAAGTAAGATAATTTTAGCCTGGTCATTTGTGCTTTGAGTGAGAAATGACTATTTTCTTCTTTTAACTTTGGTCAAAAAAGCCAATCTTATAAAATCTTCCCTGATTTCTTTAAAAAAAAACATTAAACTACACCCCCCCCCCCAAAAAAAAACAACCTCAGGGGTAGTTTGCTTCTCATGTATGTTTCAAAGTGGAAATCCTTCAGAATTTTAGTAGATTGCTTTTCTATCAATAAGTAAAAATTATACTTTTGTTTGTCACTTCTAAAAAACGTTTTGCAAATCTTGGCAGAGCTTTTTCTCTATCCAGAAGAAATAATTACCCCGATTAGTTTCCTGGTTTAATATCTGTTCATATCCTTTGGAGAATAAGTCAGCCATCAGATTCAGTTTTACTACATTAAATTAATTTCATACTTTCATTGTAGCTGTTTTATAAATTTACCAGAATATGCACTGTCAGTTTTATCAAGCATTTGATACATTCTGTCCAAAAATGTGATTGAAAAATATTCAAAAATTTGCACTAAGGATTTCTGCTCCATTTTCTTTGTTCTCTGGCTCTTATGTCCAGCCTTCAAGGTCACCTTATCAGAACAAAACAAAAGAAAACAAAACAAAAAGCAATATACTTTTTCCCATGAGGAAATATCTTCTAAATAATTCCAAATCCCTCTGGTCCCTTAATCTGTTATTAACTTTCTAAAATCCATATGCTAAACACCCGTTTGCTGCATAGTTAAAAAAAAACATGGACTTTTGAAACCTTTAAAATAAAATTTACACCATTGGTCTTTTAAGGAGGCAGAAACTCACCCAATGAATACAATAAAACTTTGCCAGTCCAAAGGGTCTTAATTTGTCCAATATGCAACAAATAAAATGCAATAAAAATCCCAAAAACGTGATTAAGATACAAAGTTTGGTCAGGCTTTATGTCCATAAAGGCTGCTATGAGAGTGTGGTGTAGTCTTGACTCTCACCACTTCATGCATAAGTCAACCATAAAAATGGCAGTTTCTGCAGTCTACTCACGAGGAGTAGCTGTCCTGGGTCATATGGATGATCTCAACTTCTTCTTTGTTCCAGAGAGATTATGACAGCAATTCTCTTCATAAAAGCTGCTGTGCTGGCCAGTGAAAGCCAGCAAGGCGACAGCTCACCATGACACATTCAGGAAGTGTTACTATCTATATATTCTTTGTAATCTTCTCCAAAGCACAGTTCAAAAACAACAATACTTTTTCTATCCTGTTTCTTCGAAGTCCAAGTTTCTATTCCATAGAATATCACAGGGAATACCTTTTTCTGTTCTATTATTATCTTTGTAGGTGTAGATATATCAAAGCTTTTGAATTTCTTTTCCAATGTCTTCATTACTGCTCTACTATTATTATATTTTTGACTGCTTGTTGCTTTATTATTGATAAAGTCTCATAAAAAAGAAGAAGCTATCTCCCAGTTTAATATCTTACTTGTCAATTGTAATGGTGGTTATTATTTGTATTATTACTTTAGTCTTTATATTTAATTTTAGCCCCATTTTCACTGTGTTCCTTCACTTTTATTCCAAGAACTTGCAGATCCTTCACATTTTGGGCTAGCAAGGTGTATCATCAGCATAGCACAAGCTATTGATATTTCTTCTTTCAGTTGCAAATATTGCTTATCTTCTTTCAAACCAGTTTTCCTTAGTATATACTCAGCATTGAGAGCAGCATAAATTTATTTATCCTTTAGATTTATATTCTGCTTCTATGGCTTTATTAGTAACTCAATAGTGGTAAACATACCTAATTCTCCTCCTTTCCTACATTTTCTCCACAACCCTATGAGATGAGTTGGGCTGAGAATGAATGCATGACAAAAAAAAATGTGTTACAAAACCCCGTATTTCTGCCACACTGCCTTCAACTTTGCAAAGATGTTGGTAGTAAAACTGCCATTTCAGTTGACATAATTTTTATTAATCAGAAACTGATGTTGGTGCTACAAATATTGTGGTAATTTGATGTTTATGAAATGTGAGAGTTCAAAATCTTGTATTATTATTATACTCACTAGCATCTTATTGTCAGTATAAAGTTTAATGCATATATGCAAATAATGACATTTTTATTAACCTGGTCTAAGAGGTTTCTTTACCATCATAACGTATAAAAATGTTTGCCACATTATGTTGATTTTCAAGACCATATGTCAATGCATTTCTGACAAACTAATATTTTCAACATTAGACACACAAGGAATTTGGCTCCAGTGCAGAAATTATCAGTGTACCTGGAGATGCAACATAACAATAACAGTAATAGTAAAAATAACAATAATATTGATGGGGGGGGGGGAGTAAAGAAGATAATAAGGATAAATAATAATAATATAGCCATACTACATGGGTAAATAAACAGACATTAGATAGCACTCTGAGAATTAGGTGTTCAGCAGTGATGATATGAGGGGGAAACTGTCCTTGTATTTAGTTGCTTTGACATGCCCTATTGCACCACCCCAAGGGAGGAGGTGAAACAGTTTATGTCCATATCTTCTCATCCCTCCTTCTGACCTGCACAATATACAGATGGTCTATGGAAGGAAGGCTGTTTGCAGTTGTTTTTCCTGCAGTCTTAACTGTCTGTTGAAGTCTGTACCTGTCCTGTTTGGTTGCTGTACCAAACCAGACAGTTATAGAAGTACAAATGACAGACTCAATAATTCTTCTATAAAATTGTATCAATAACTCTTGGGGCAGTCTGAACTTTCTAAACAACATTCTTTGGTGTGTCTTTTTAATAATGTGTTAACTGTTTTAAAAGCATTTTTCACCCTGTTCTGTAATTCAGCTTTGATCAGTTGCTAGTATATAGCTGGCATGCTTTAAAGAAACAATGCATTTTTCAGATTGTATACATTGTTTTGAGTTATTAATCACAAAGACAGTAGGTTGCTAGCCACTTAAGATGTTTTTCAGTTGGCAGTGTTGGCAAACAGCTCTTCCAGCCTGCCATTTATTGTATTCAAGCTTTCTTATGTACCTTGAATAAGTGTTCTTTAGATAGATTTGTTGGTATTATGTATGTATATTTAGTGAATGGCATCTTATTTATATGTATGTCAACTGATTCATTTTTTGTGAGTTTCCATCACTAGAGTTTCTCATTAGCATCATTCAGCATTGTTTTTAATCACTATAATTCAGTGGGTAGAACCAAGAGCTGCTGAGAGGTCCAGCAGAACCAACAGGGATTTTGTACATTTTGTTATGTACTTCCCAGCATAAATAATTTGCCAAGTTGATTGTGTGTATCCGTGTTATTATTTTCTTATTTATTTAGATGTATTGGCTGCTGCAGCCACAAAAAAAGCCAATTCTAGGCTGCATTAAAGCAGGGATAGACTCAAGATCACACAAAGTGTTATTAACATGTCTTGGTAGGAGCACACTTGGAATACTGCATCTAGTTTTGATCATGTCAATATAAAAAAGATGCTGAGACTCTGGAAAGAGTGCAAAGAAGAGCAACAAAGATGCAAGATTTGGATATGTCTAATCTAGTAAAAAGAAGGACTAGGGGTGGCACGTCATCAGTGTTCCAATATTTGAGGGGCTGCCTAAAAGAAGAGGGAGGGCAACTTATTTTCCAAAGTACTAGAAGAGAAGGCAAGACAAGAAACAATGGTGGAAACTCAAGGAGAGAAGCAACCTAGAACTAAGGAGAAATTTTCTGCAGAACAATTAATCAGTGGAAAAACTTGCATTCAGAAGTCGTGGGTGCTCTATCACTGGAGGCTTTTAAGAAGAGTTTGGACAGCCACTTCTCTGGAATGGTATAAGGTGCCCTGCTTGGCAGAGGGTTCGACTAGAAGACCTCAAAGTTCCTTCCAATTCTGTAATTTTGTTCTATTCTGGACTGGACTATTGGAGATGACCTTGACAGAAATATGCAACTGTTACCAAGGCAAAGAGGAGTGAGACATAGTTTATGTTCTGGGAAGCTAGATAATGTTTGAAGTGACCAGGCAAACATCTCCCAGATTCACTAAGTTATAAGAAAGAGAAGAGAGATGGCACAAACTGTCTCTCTCTCACAATGGACCCCTTAGGGTCCATTATTGAAACTTATCTCAATAAAGTATAATTTTTCTTGTGGAGTTGATTCTAGTCTGTTTGCAGGGCTGGCAGTAACCTGTATCCAGGCTTCAAACATTATCAAATCGTAGAGTGATGTTGTCAATATAGGGGGCTGATATTTTTGTCTTCCTGGATTTAAAGAAAGTGTTGAAGCCAGCATTTTATTTTGAAGATATTTTAAAGCTATGTTAGAATTTTCAATCCAGTAAAACTTTCTGTGCCTCAAAATAGTAGAGACACAGCACCATCCAAATAATCATTGCCATCTGAGGATGACATTGAGATGACACAAACATTTTGATAAAAAATAAAATATTGAAGGTTTTTGAAAATTATTTATATGATTGAATTCAGGTTTTCTACTAGCAGCCCTTCAGTTACATTTTCTGTCTTGGATGTTTTTATCAAGCTTCATCTCTTCAAGGTTCTTGTCTACATCCAAATGTCTAAAACTTAAAAAGCATCTAATATAACTGGACAAGCAGAGGCCACAGTATATTTGAGAGATTTATGTAAATCTTAGTATCCTGTGTCAACAGAGATACCAGAAATTTTATTCAGAACAGGATGTGTTATCCATTCAGCCTTGATAACATGACAAGATATTCTGAATCAACTGTTTCATATTGGTAGGAACTCAGCAACTCTCTAATTCTGTGATAATCCTCTCACCTAAATCCTAAATTTGTCATCTATAAGTGTATTGACAACTCAGAAACTGCCATTTTAACCAACCAATGGGTGTTTGCTATATTCTCTGAAAAAGTGTAATAGGAAACAGTTGTATAATTTTCTATAAATCATAAACAAGATAGTGGCTTTTACCCCATGAAGATTTATGAATTATTTTTGGTCAACAACCATACATTACATGACATTACAACTATGTAAATCTAAACTACATGATGTAGCTGAGTAGAGCAGGGTGGGAATATATATATATATATATTCCCACCCTGCTACCCTATATAAAAGGCTAGTTTCAATATTTGTTCTCCGAATGCATTAGTGAAAAGAGCTTCCTTTTTCCAATAGATGTACACTAATACAGACCAGAGAGGAAATTAACCTAATCTTCTGCCTGTTTGTCCTATGTAGTGGCTGTTTCAGCAAAGCCCTTCAAAACATCCTAAGTACACCAAGAGACCTTACAGCCCCAGGAGGAGACAAAAAAGGAGATCTATGACTTACAGTGTAGTGACTGCAAAACTATTAGGACAAAGATGTAGAAGGCTGGCAGAATTTATCCATAAACACCAACCAGAAGTCAGAAGACATGATGAAAACTCTTTAATTTCACAAAATATGGTACAACTTAACCATAGCTTCAATTGGGAAACCAACCATCCTAGACCAATCCAAGTCCAAAAATGCTAAAGAATTTTAGGGACCTGACACTCTGACAAATTAGCCACCAGTAGACTTAAACAATATCTACATATTATGCAAAAGAGACAATCAACAAGCAAAAAAGGGAACAAAAAGACCAAAATACCTCCCCATAAGCAATCAGCATCCAGAGGATGATATGTTATTTCCAAGATTAACATCAGACCAATAATCAAGTAAACAATGCCCCAATCAAGGAACTGTGGAACAAGCCAACAGCTCAACCAAAGAATCTCTTAAGACCATCCCCACCAACATTGACAGGGCAAGCTATTAGAATATCAGCTGAGAGCAAACCCCACTCCTTACTAGCACTGAGGTTATCTGGATTGGGTAATGAAACATTTACAAAAAAAATAAAACAACTAAGCTCAGAGATCACCAAGGACCCCTTCAAGTTCATCATTCCCTATTGAAAGGACCAACATGTGTAATTTCAGAATACTCATTTTCCCCCATTCATTCATTCATTCTGCAAATTTATATGCCTGCTCATCTTTCTTCTTTGACAAAAAGAAAAACACTTTGTGTGTGTGTGTGTGTGTGTGTGTTATGTCAAAGCACCTGGTATGCCCAAATATGGGAGGGAGCATACTGCTTCCCTTTTGCCTTTTAGCTCCACCCTAGGAGCCTTCTAGGCAGGAAACCATTTTTTGTGTTGCATTTTTGTGCTGATAAATAAAGGGAGACAATTATAGATCTATTTCAAGCTATTTAGCTCTCATCAGCTAGCCATACCCTTACTGGGATTTGAATATATTATATTATATTATTATATTATATTATGTTATATTATATTATATTATATTATATTATATTATATTATATTATATTATATTATATTATATTATATTATATTATATCTATCTATATCTATCTATCTATTTATCTATCTATCTATATATATACACACATACATACATACATACATACATACATACATACATGTCAGCAAACTGGCATATTAAAACTTTTTAATGAAGCCTTTATCTTTGTGTTTGATTTCAGAATCTTTTAGCAGAGAAGGTGGAACAGCTTATTGAATGGAGTTCAAGGCGCTCAGTCATCCGTATGAATGGAGACAAATTCAGAAGGTTTGTGAAGGCGCCACCTCGCAACTATTCAGTGATTGTGATGTTTACAGCTTTGCAGCCACAGAGACAATGCTCAGTTTGCAGGTAAGTCCTCTCCTCTCCTTGCTTCTCTCTGTAGAAAAGCTAAGAAGCCATTATGATTTTTTTTTAAAAAAAATATAAAAGTTATAATAGCATTCAAATGTCTTGCTCCTATCTTACCAGTTCCATGCAAATAATAAAAAGAGATTCTTTGTTTAGAGGAGATAAAGTACAGTTTTCATCTGATTCTTCTGCTAATGGCCTGATCTACTATCAGGTTTGGACTATGTGCAAATGTATAAAATTCATATAACTTCTGATTCTAATAATGCTGAATTGCCTCCAGTATGTCTCTTAAAGAAAAGGTTAAACATTAATCAGTTATTTTCTATTTATAAAGTAAATTATTACCAAATCCAGCAACTTTTAATTTTGTTTTTAATTTTGAACACTTTTTGTAGCATATTTTTTAAAAGCGTAGTTGACATTTCATTTCTGCTTGGAAATTTGTTCCTTTTTCAATTTGCTCTAGATATTTTTTGTAACATTTTGGAGCCTATTTTCTATGACTTGTGGAGAGTATGTATGAAAGAATGCCTGGCGGAGGGCTGGGGAAGGAGGAGCAGTATACTTAAAATTGTTTTAAAATATGCTACCTAAAAAAGAAGCAGTGATTTGCTTCATTGGCAGTTATGTAGATGGAATCTTACTATTCTGTAATGAACTCAATGCAGTTTATTTATTTAATTTTTATGACACTAAATCTTACAACTTAATGGTGATTTATAACAGTAGACCGTTACATAACAAATTCTAGAATAGAAAAAAATACAGAAGTCAGTAACAATTTCATGAAATCAATATCCATTATATAGTTTAATCTCTATACTATTTAAACTCTTGTTGATACCTTGTAATCTTAAATTGGATGAAATATTGCATCATAGAATAACAATTTTTGGAGCAACATAAGCCAAAATATTTACAGACTGCATGGATCCATGATTACCAGGGCATTGAAATTTGGCAAAGTTGAGCCCATGATAACACTACCACATCTTTTGATTACACTTCCTGGAAACCTGTAGGTTGTAGGACACAAGGAAAGTTGGAAGGGTGTATCCTCACTTATTCCTCATCTCCCTTTGGCCCTTGCACCCAATCAGCTGATGGCAAGTCCTTGTAAGTGACTGACTTTTGGCTGCTTTAGAATGGAGGCAAAATTTGAAATATCTTAATGGTAGTAACCAGTGAGGGAAGAATGAAAGAGTGACCCTGTTGCCTGCTGCTAAGGTAAAGATGGCTGGGAAGTGGTCTTACTTCCTGGAGGGATGGGTCCTTTGGAAACATGCTGGAATGGAGAGCAGTGGAGGGGGGGGGGGGTTACAGTTTACCTAGTAGTCTATGGCTTCCTTTGTCCTGCCTCCTTCAGCAAAGTGGCAGGCAGTTCTGTGGATTAGCTGAGGAAGAGGAGGAGGAAGGTGCTTCAGCACAACTTTTCTGAGGATCATGAGGGAATGGAAAATGGTACAGTCTTATATATGGAAAGAGGGAGGAGAAGGGAGTAACTGGGATGCCTGCTGACAAAGTATGGCTGGCTGGGGGAGAAGGCTGCTGCCACCATGTTTCCCCGAAAAAAAGATAAGGTGTTATTTTCTTTTGACCCCCAAAATAAGCACTTGGCCTCATTTTCAGGGAGGTCTTATTATTTTTGAGGTGCAGGAAACGGCAAGCGTGGTCACCTCATGGCTGCTGCCGTGTTGCAATATTTTTGAGGAGGGCTTATTTTTGGGGAGGTCTTATTTTAGGACATGTACTCAAAAGCCTGATTGGGCTGATTATCTGGGGAGGTCTTATTTTCAGGGAAACGTGGTACTACTGTTGCTTCATTGGATTTCTCCTGAAGGTTATGAGACAAGGGGAAATGAGTGCCTCAGATGGGATGATTCTACCGGAAAGAGTTTGAGTGGAAGAGAAATATGATTTAAGATATATCCACAAATTTATTTGTGTATTTTAGTATTTTAATTATTTTAATTACCTAGTTCTGAATCTCATAGTTTAGATTAGATTTGAGTGTTCTTTTTGCTGGGCTGGAAAGATTAGGAAAAATTGGTTGTGGTCTGTGCGACTGCAGAAGCACTCAAGGCATTCCTCTGTTCTGCAGCATGCTGACATGTTTATGAGTTGTTGGTGTTGCACACTATAGGAGTTGCTAAAGCTACACATAAGCAGACACTTGCAGTTTTGGCAACACCAGGCCTGTCTTAAGACATGCTCGGGGAGGCATTGGTTGCCAGAATTTGTTATACGCTGAGCTTTATTGGGC